CATTGAATCCCATTCAAACAATCTCTCGTCTTTGCTCACACATTCTCTGGATCATCATCAACACATCGGACGACAAGTTCACATGCCGTTACATGAGTTTGCAAACACTTTAAGCCACGGCTCAATGCATCTCCCTCAGCTCTTTAGCCCTGACTCAGCCGCAGCATCGGCAGCTGCAGCCGCCCAACCGTTTGTGTCGTCAATCAACACAACAGACATTGAATGTTCACAGAATCTACTGAGGCTGACTTCTAACAACAATTATGGTGGAGACTGGTCGTTTCTGGACAAGCTTCTCACTACGACCAACATGAATCAGCAACAGGTGCAGAACCATCAAGCAAAATGTTTTGGCGACTCGAGTAACAACGGTAATAACGATCAGGCTGTTACTCATGACCATCTTGGTAATAACAATGGTGGTCCTTCTTCATCTCCGGTTAATCAGAGGTTCCCTTTTCACTACCTGGGAAGCGATGCTAATCTTCTCAAGTTCCCAAAGTAGATCAATCGGAGTTGATTTGATTTGATCGATCTCATATTTTCGATTTTAATGTCTCTTCTTTAAGCTGTGGAGGAACTCGACACAGCCACCGACTCACTGTTCTTGAAATCAGTTTGTTTTTTAAACTATGATTCTGTCTTTCATTAATGATATTCTGTTCTGTCTCTGAAAGTTAATACCCCAACGCTGCTAAGGTGCTTCAGGGATTAATACTGCTTCCACCATCTTTGCGCTCCATAAATTCTTTATCGCTCAAAATCCTTGCTTTCTTGCAAAGTTACTTAAGTGGATCGCAAGATCAGTGCCATGAGCAGTCATCATTAACTAATTATCTAGAGTTCCGATTTTTCTTGTAATTTCGGACATACCGAGTGAGAAATCCCTTCAAGAAGTCCATATCACGATTACGCATCACAAGCGCTTCATCTTCAGAGAGAAAGCCATATTTCTTTATTGACGTCCCATATAAATCCAATTTTCTCATCTCCCCTGCAATCTGTGGGAGCTCAGTGATGTTAGTGCATCCACGAAGATAAAGAAACTTCAGGTTTTTTAGGTTGCTCAACCCGGGAGGGAAGTTTTGGAGCCTCTGGCACTCTGACATGTCAAGAAAGACGAGACTCAGCTTATCACCAATCGTTGAAGGCACTTCTTCTATCGCTGTTCCATTCAAGGCCAGTGTTTCTATTCCATTTCCAAGCACTGGAAATATTGTGACATTAGGAGAGTTGCCGAGCCAGAGATGTCTGAGTGACTTCAAACCTCCAAGGGTGTCTGGGAGATTCTTCAGTCTCTTGCATTGTGACAACCGCAGATCTCTGAGCTTTGATAGACACTCGATCGATGGTGGGACTACTTCAATTGCTGTCCAGCTCAGTCCCAACTCTTCAACATTGTCAGAAACAAATGGAAACTCTGCTATACTTGTGCATCCGTCTAGAGAAAGAGTTTTGAGGGACTTCAAGGAGATGTTACGCGGGAGATTCTTAAGTTTTGTGCAATTTCGCATGGACAGCTTAACTAGGTCATTAAGATGCCACAGAGAAGAATGGAGCTCGACCAAGCTTTCGCAGTCACAAAGACATAAAGTCTCAAGACTCTTTGCCTTAGAAAGGTCTGGAATTTCAGCCAGTTGCCTGCATCTGTTAAGGTTCAAGTGCCTTAGTTTCCGTAGGTCCTGCCATACAAAATAAGCAAGATATTGGTTACTACTAGTAACAAAAACAACAACCCACAAAAGCATTCAAAACAATGAGAGTCTGTCAAACCGGTTGGTGTCAATGATAACACCAAAACAAATTGAAAAAAAAAAAAAAGCCAAAAAACAACAGCAACAATAAAGAAAGACAGATTAACGTATGTTCTGTATTACCCAATATCTAGCAAAATATAATCACGTAGTACCTGAGTTCCGCTCCATAGTGTTTCAACTGAACTATCAGGGAGGTTGAGTTCAACTAGATAGTCAGTCTGGAAGTGAGAAGGCAACGATTTCAGAGTGTAAGCCTCCCAGTGGAGGGAGGTACTCAAGGTCGTTGACCACACACATTTTGCTCCCTCCAACATTGATATTATTATGGATTTTAAGAAACTTGAGATTGGACATCCTCTTAAACGCTACAGGATTAATGCAAAGCTCTGTTTCTTCAGCCATGTTGAGCAATATACTTTCAACCTCGATGTCTTTAGTTCCCTGCCATGACAGAGTAAAACAGTGATCAGCACAAGCTTAATCGAGAAACTAAAAAAGCGACAAATCTGCTCCGAAAACCGAATACGGAATAAGAGAAAACAAATGTTCATGCCTAGATTTAGCTTTACACTTTCTTGTCTTACCATATTTTTGGTGAACAAGCCTTCGATATCCAAAAAATTAGACAGCATTTTACGCTTCCATGGTTTTTCCTTTTTTCCATCACAAATGATATCCTTGGCCATGTCTTGAAGTAGGTCATGAACCCATAGCCTCCTATTGTTTGACATTATAATCAGAGACTTCTCCATCAAAGTTACTAGGCTTGGTCCAGAAGAAAAGACAAAGGGGTCTAGTACCTTTTCCGCTCGATCCATATATTCACCATTGAAACAACCAGCAACATAAAGAAAAACAATCTTTTCATGCTCATCCAGTGCATCATAACTTACTCTTAACGACAGTGAGATATCTTTATCAAGACTATTTTTCAGTATAAACAGCTTCTCTTTCCAAAATTTTGTTTCCCGTTGATATAGAGATGCACCAATGACTTTAAGCGCTAATGGAAGACCACCAAGTTGCTCGACAATGTCTAAAGAGAGTTTTCTAAATTCTTCTGGTGGACGATTCATTTTGAAGGCATACTCGCTAAAAAGCTGAAGTCCTTGGGTAGGCCTCAGAGGCTTCACTTCATAAATGTGTTTTACACCATGCACATCTAACACACGCTTGTCTCGTGTAGTTATAATGATCCTGCTTCCTGGTCCAAACCACTTGCAGTTTCCAGCCAATTCTTGCAGTTGTTGAATGTCATCAACATCATCAAGGACGAGAAGAACCTTCTTGCCACGAAGTTTTCGCTTCATTACATCAGAACTGATGCTCTGTGCATTCAGGCGACTTTTTGGGAAGAATTTAGACATGATTTCCTTTCGTAAATGTGATATACCATATTGTTTGAAATCTCCTTTCACGTTATCTAGCAAGCAGCAAACATCAAACTGACTCGAGAGGTCTTCGAAGACATACTTTGCGATGGTGGTTTTCCCTCTGCCACCCATACCCCAGACTCCTACCATTCGGACATCTACAGAGTCCATCGATAAGAAAGCTTCCATGTTTCTCTTGTGAGAACTCATCCCGACCAATCCAGTTGTGTCGCCTGGTGAATCTGAGTATAATCTGTCAGAAAGATCTTGAACAATTTCTTGTACAAGCTTTGAGTCCTCATTCCTGCATCATGCCCAACATTAACCCTTCATAACCTCATCAAGAGAGAAATTGTGTTGATCAAACAGAGCCAATTTCGAAACTGTTTATCCTCAGCATAATTACCAAACTACGAATACAGTATTCGAATCGAGAGAACGAAATAAAGAAAGAAGACCACAAAGTATTTGATGAAAAGCAACGAACCTGGTTTTGGAGACCCAGCCAGAAATGTTTCCAACTTGAGCTAAAGCCATTCTCCATTTACCCACCTTCTCAAGATCATACCTCAGCTCATGGTTCTCAAGAGCTTCGTTGAAACATCCGCTTCGACTCTTCAAGTCTGACGGATCAATATCATAGAATACAGGGATCAATTCAAGTCGTTTCTTCATAACGAGGTCGACCATAAGCGAAAGCTCTTCCAAGCACCAACGAGAGGTAGCGTAGCCTTTGGATATCACAACGATGGCGAATCGTGACTGATCGATCCCTTCCCCAAGACCTTCCCAGATGAAATCGCCTTTTTGAAGTTCTCTGTCATCGTGGAAGGTCTCGATTCCTTCATCAGTGAGAGCTTCGTAGAGATGGCTTATGAAACTTTTCCGAACATCTGCTCCTCTGAAACTGAGAAAAACATCGTACTTCCACCGAGACGACGAATCCTCCGCCATAGAAACTGAATCAAAGAGAGGAATACGAAGCTGAGTTAACTTAACTTAGCGTCTCCGATTTCCTCAGAAACTTGAGGACACGGCGTAGTACCACGAAGACGGAGAGGAGAACGTAATCGTCTTTGCTTCCATGCTTGATTCAAGAGAAGCCAACGATCACCATTGACTTTCGACGACGCTGTTCAATCGTTATCGACTTATCGTAGCCATTTCTGGGTTACATACCAAGAAGTAAAGGAAAGGGATAAAGAGTTGCGTCTGGGCCCAATGGGCTGAAATTGAGTGGACCACTTTCATGGACCCTCATAGCTTAATAGACCTCTGGTGCCTGACGTGTTCCTTGACAGACTGAAAAATGTATTGTGCCAAGCGAGGCATATCAAGCGGTTCGTCGTCTGATTGAACTGACTGGCTAGTTTCCACTATGGATGTGCCATTCAGGTCCAACGCTCTCAGTCGACCTGCGGTCTCAGGACGCTCTGTGATATTGGTGCAACCGCGGAGAAAGAGGAATCTCAGGTGAGTCAAGTTCCTCAATGTGGGAGGCAGGTTCTTAAGCCTTTGGCAGCCGGACATGTTGAGGTAGTAGAGTCTTGATTTATCACCTATTGTTGCAGGCACTTCCTCTATTGCTGTTCCCTTCAAAGCTAGTGATTCTATGTTATCCCCAACCTCTGGAAACAATGTGATGTTGGGACAGTCGGAGAGCCAGAGAGTTGTGAGGGAATCCATGTTTCTAATGGTGTCTGGAAGATTCTTCAGTTTCTTGCAACCTGACAAATGCAGCGTTTTGAGTTGTGATAGACGCTCAATTGACGCTGGAACTTGCTCGATTGCTGTCTCGTCAAGTGATATCGTTTTAACATTTTCTGAAAGGAATGGAAAATCTTCTAGACTTGAGCATCTTTCAAGATACAGAGTTCTAAGAGACCTCAAGTTGATGTTATTTGGGAGGTTCTTAAGTTTCTTGCAGCTGCTCAGTGCCAGTATCCCGAGGTTATTGAGATGCCTAACAGAATCAGTGAGCTCAACTAAGCTTTCACAGTTATCCAGATCTAACTTCTCAAGACTTGTAGCCTTTGAAAGGTCTGGAATTTCAAGTAGTCGTTTGCATCCTCTCAGGTTCATACGCCTTAAATTCCCAAGGTCCTGCTCATATGAAAACCCATTTCTTTTAGGCACCGCACAACAGTTGAAATCACACAAAGCATTATAGGATAGAAGGTTAAAGCTGCTGATTCTCTTTTTGTATGTAAAAAGTATATGCAGGATCTGTCCTCTTATCAACGACAAAAGAACTACCAGACTACAAACTAGTTCATACTTTAGAGCAGAAAAATAAATTAGTACCTGAGTTCCATTCCAAAGTGTTTCAACCGAACTGTTAGGGAGGTTGAGTTCAACTAGATATGTAGTACAGAATCGCGAAGGCAAGGATTTCAGAGTATAAGCCTGCCAGTGAAGATATCTCAGCATAGGGAGATAGAGAAGGCCATCAGGCATGCATATCTTACTCTCTCCAGCAGTGGAATTGTTGTAAAATTTTAGCAGCTTTAGATTGTACATCCTCTCAAATATTGCAGGGCTTATGCAGAGCTCCTTTCCTTTGCGCATGTCGAGAAGTAAACTTTCAACTTCAACTGCTTCAGATCCCTGGTAACAAAGTGTAACAGATGAGCCCATGATAGTACGCCACACGTTTTAAATAATAGACCAAAGAACCCACCACTTCACTCTAAAAACATAGAATGTAATGATCATTTTACAATGTGCATGACTTAAGGAAGTTAAAAGAAGTTATGGCTTACCATATTTTCACAGAATACGTTATTGATGTCCATAAAGTTCCACAACATCTTACGTTTCCATGGGTTTTCTTCTTTTCCTTCACAAATAATATCTCTAGCCATATCTTGGAGTAAATCATGAACCCATAACCTCTTCGTGGTTGAAATGCTGATTAGACACTTCTCTGTCAGAGTTCTGATACACAGTGTGGAGCGCAATGGCCTGTGCCCAGACACAATGAGAAGGTCTAACACTTTGCTGACACGATGCATAAACTTTCCATTGAAACAACAGGCAACGTAAAGAAATATTAACTTTTCTTGCTTATTTAATGCCTCAAAACTTTCTCTCAACGCCTTCGAGACAGAACTGTTGACATTAGTTCTCAGTAGGTCCAGGTAGTGTTCCCAATCTGCTATGTCCCGGCGATACAGAGCTGCACCAGCAACTCGAATAGCTAAAGGAAGGCCATCGAGTTGCTTGACAATATCAATAGAGAGCTCTGCAGAATCTTTAGGTGGACGAGGTTGTTTGAAGGCATGCTTACTAAAAAGCTGAAGTGCTTGGATAATCCTCAGTGGCTTGACTTCATATATGTATTCCACATCATGCTGCTCTAGCACACGCTTGTCCCTCGTAGTTATAATGATTCTGCTTCCTGGTCCGAACCACTCAAAGCTTCCAACCAATTCTTGAAGCTGTTCTATATTGTCAACATTGTCGAGGACAAGAAGAACTATTTTCCCATGGAGTCGTCGCCTCATGACATCAGGATCACCATCCCATGAATTCAGGTCTTTTATGCGGAGGATTTCCGACAAGACTTTCTGTCGCAAATATGATGAACCATACTGTTCAAATTCCATTTTCACATTCTCTAGCAAGCAAGCACCGTCGAACTTACTTGAGAGGCGTTTACAGACAAACTTTGCAATGGTGGTTTTACCTATACCTCCCATGCCCCAAATTCCAACCATCCGGACATCTCCCGAGTCCATGGATAAGAGAGCTTCTATGCTTCTCAAGTGGGAAATCATTCCAAACAATCCATCATTGTCGCTAGATGAATGTGAAAACAATCTATCAGAAAGATCTCGAACAACGTCTTGTACAAGCTCTGATTCATCGTTCCTGCAACAATCCCAATAGATAAAGACCTCATAACCTCATCATACTCATGAAACTACACATAAGAGAGACGACCCAGTATTAGATGAAAAACAACGAACCTGCTCTTGGAATCCCACCCAGAAATGTTTCCAATTTGAGCTAAAGCCAATCTCCATTTACACACCGTCTCAAGATCATGCCTCAGCTTATGCTTCTCAAGAGCTTCGTTGAAGCACCCGCTTCGACTCTTCAAGTCTGACGGATCAATGTCATAGAAAACAGGAATCAATTCAAGTCGTTTCTTCACAGCGAGGTCGACCATAAGCGAAAGCTCTTCTAAGCACCAACGAGAAGTAGCGTAGCCTTTGGATATCACGACGATGGCGAACCGTGACTGATCGATCCCTTTCCCAAGACCTTCCCAGATGAAATCACCTCTCTGAAGTTCTCGATCTTCGTGGAAGGCTTTGATTCCTTCCTTAGTGAGAGCCTTGTAGAGATGGCTGATGAAACTTTTCCGAACATCTGTCCCCCTGAAACTGAGAAACACATCGTACTTCCACAGAGACCGAGACGGCGAATCCTCCTCCGCCAAAGAAACTGAATCAGAAACAGGAATAGGAATCTGAGTTAAACTAGGCGTCTCCGATTTCCTTAGAAACGGAAGGAAACGGCGTAGTCCCACGAAGACGGCGACGAAGACGAATGTAGCCAAGTAGAGAAAGGTAATCGCCATGTAAGTAGAGAGTAGCACAATCAAGGAAGATTTTGCTTGATTCAAGAGTCGATCATGAATTATGCCATTTATCA